CGGCTCTCCACCCCCAAAATTCCCCCGGCCGGCGATTGCTGGCTGGGGAATTCTGGGAGTTGAAGTCCGGACATCTTCAAGTTGCCAAGGTTGAGAAACACTGGCCTAGAGGATCCTGGGTTGCCCACTCCCCTCTTTGGGAGAGCTTTACAACTCCCGCTGCCTTAAGAAAAGTCAACACATTCTTAAAGAACCATCTCATCCTGAGCACATTTTTTTTAAACTATTACCACCTGGCAGACGGTACAGGGCAATAAAACAGGCTCTCAGTAGAAGCTATTAGGGCAGTAACTATATTGGATTCTACTGTACGGTGCGATATGAATGCAATATCAGGGTTTTTTTAATTCCATTGTATAGAATGCGAAGTATGCGGGCTTTTATTTTATGTTTATACTTACAAAGTACACTGAAGACGGCGCTGAATTTCATGGTAGGAGGTGCAATGACAATAAAGGAACTAACTCTGAACTGACTTTAGAGGCCCAACCCAGCCGGTTCTTGTAACTGCGAAACCTTGAACTAGAAAAATCTTGCGCGCATGTGCAGCACTCAAAGACCGCCCTCGGCGTCAGCTGGTGAGCTGAGCTGTTGTTGAGGTGCTGTGTGAATCAGCTGAGCTAAAAAAACCAGGGAATATAGGACAGGGAATGGTGGTGGGTGGGTGGGAGGACGGGGCCAGCCAGAGGTGGCATTTGCTGGTTCTCCCAACTACTCAAAATTTCGGCAACTGGTTCACTAGAACCAGTCCGAACCGGCTGAATACCACTTCTGACTTCCTCCCCGTAGGCACTGGGCTGCCTTCCTCTCTATCTTGGTCAACGTCATTTAAACTGAATGTTAAATGGAACATCTCTATTGATAGTTCTACCTGGCATTTTTATTGAATGATTATTAAAGCCCCCCAGAAGGACACCGTATACGTTTAATCAATCGATCGATTGGTCCGGCCCCGTGAAAGGAAAGGGAGAGCAAAGTGGGTGGGTGGGGGGGAATGGAAGGGAAGCATGGGAACTGGAAGGATCAGCCAAAGGGGGGGTAGGATGAGGGGGACGCAGACCACAGAGAAGGTTCTTACGCCATTTCGGAGAGCTGGGGGTTGGATCGTCTGTTACACATTGGAAAAAAAATATTGTTCAGAAGGGTTTCTAAGAGAGATTGGTTGATTTATTTTTTGTATTATGCTAGGCTTGGCTCCTGGGAATATGGTCAGCCTGCCCTCAAAAGATCTCTGGTAGGGTGGGAACCACCATTTCAAGCTCAAAAGACTTTCGTTCAAAGTATTTTTCTCACACTGCTACGGTACCAATAAAGTGAGAATATTTGCAGCTCAGGGTTAAAATGAGGGGTCCTTGGTGGTTGTTTTCTTGCAGACGTTTCATTACCCAACTGGGTAACATCATCAGTGCTGCAAGAGAGTGGGTTTGCTATTATTTTTATATTCTAGGGCAGCGGCGTCCAAACTTGGAAACTTTTCCGGGAGTTGGAAATCCACAAGTCTTAAAGTTCCCAAGTTGGACACCCCTGTTCTAGGGTCTTGTCAGTGTTGGTGGGAGGGTGTTTATTGTTAGCTTGTCTGTCACTTCCTTCATTGGAGTCTTGTTTACTTCTTGAATGTTGGTCTGATGTTAATCTTGGGAGTTCATCTATGCTCATCCGGGTGCTGATTGCTGGGTGGGGAGGTGTTTTGGTCAACCAGAGAGCATCTTGAGACCATTCTCACCAACACCGACAGGGCAAGCCATTAGGATATAAACCGAGCACAAATCCCATTCCTTACCAGCACTGATGATGTTGCCTACCTGGGTAATGAAACATCTGCAAGAAAACAACCAAGCTCAGAGAGCACCAGGGGCCCCTCACGCCATTATGGATAAGCTCACTGGCCTCTAGTTTCAGACTGCGGAAAGGGGCTGTTAACAATGGCTGGACTTCAGCTCTGAAACCTGAGAGTTGGCTGCCATCCCATACGATCTGACAAAGGTCCCTGTTTTTCTTTCTTTTCTTGCTAGCTCGTTAGTCAACCAACCGGAGATCAGAGCTACAGGTATGGAGGGGAAATTTGCTTTTGGATTGAAAGGCAGGCTGGTCTCTTCTACAGCTCAAACCAAGCAACCCTCCCGTCTTAATTTCCTCTTTACCTGAGCCAGTTTCATCATCATGTGAGCAAAGACGTGAAGGAAACCGATGACAGCATCCCACAATCGGCTATGTGCTAAACTCTGCTGGTTCCCAGTGCAAGGGCCCTGAGGAGACATAATAATAATATTTTATTTTTTTTTTTTTAGCACTGCATGGCCAATTTCTGGAAAAAATAAAAGATAAAGTGGACAGTGAACAAACTTGGTTATGGTTAACAACAGGTATGCCATTGATTTGAAACTCTATGGCAAGTCAGAAACAGAAATCCAATCATTGACAAACACAGTCCGAGTATTCAGTACTGATATTTCAATGCAGTTTGGCATGGAAAAATGCGCCACTGTATCCATAAAAAGGGGCAAAATCACTGCATGTGAGGGAATTGAAATGCCCAATGGCCAATTAATTAAATGCAGCAAAAATGAAGCCTACAAATACTTAGGCATTCTGCAGTTGGATAATATCAGTGCTAGTTGGATAA